GTTATTTGTGGGGCATAGGAATTCGTTCATATTTTTTTTCAAAATATAGTCCAGCCCACCACATGGTCTGAGGGACGGTGGACCAGCCCATGGCTGAAAAAGGTTGCTGACCCATGCTCTATCCACTAATACGCTTTTTTTTTGCGGGGGGGGGGGATGACAGAAAATGACACTATCCCAGATTGTTCTGATTACCAAAGCCTAGCTGCTACCCTACTTAAACATACTGCTGCAAGGTTTTGCTAGTTCATGTTTTGTTCATTTGTGCAAATGTCTGTAGCTTACTGCTTACTATTGAGATGCCTCTAGAGCTGTGTACTAATAAAAGAGCATGTTAAAGCCTTCAATTTGCCAAGTTATACTTGGCACTGGGTGGAAGGCAAGGATTATTTTAAATTATGGGAATCTTGAGTGTGGCCAGATCATTTGGGTTTTAAAGCTGCTCTGATGCTCTGCAACCACTTCTGCTGTTTAAGTATCTCTCCTTCATTCAATGTCTGCCCTCCGGCTATTTTTCTCTCCCTGTATGGGAGGGTGGATTTTTGGAGGGCAAACAATGCATTGTTTCTTAACCCTTTTTTATAAGCCATCTCAGCAACCTTTCTCTAACCCTATAGTAATTGGACAATATTATTATTTTCAGCCATCTAAATCTTTTTCTTGGCTTGCCTACTGTCCCAGAGCAGCCTGATCATAAATGTTCATTTTCACATTAAGTGCACCAGATTTAGGATTGGGCTGTCATCTGCATCCTGTGTATGTTTAGGAGGGAGTAAGTCTCATTGATTCCAGTAGGACTTACTTCCAAGTAAACATCAGGCAGCGTGTCATTTCATGCCTCTTGTTGGCTGTTCTCCAGAATGTTTCCTGTGATATCCAGGATATCCTTTTTAAATTTATTTGTATTAGGGTATCAAATAAGAGGGGACGTCTAGCCTGGCTGGTATACTGTGGTTTTTAGATTATTATTTTTGTTACTGAATGGGAATAACTAAAAATGCTACTTTGTTTTTGGCTGCCCTGATTAATATTAAGTGAACTGTCAACAGTGGCTTAGTGTGAATGTGCAAGTTCCCAGAGAGGAGACGGTGGGACCTTTGTAACTCCTCCTCCTGTACTGCCATGAGCTTAGCTATGGTTTGGCTTAGTTTCATCCAATCCCAGGTTTGTGGTTGGTGTCACTCCAGACTAAACATGAGGGGCAACTGAATGCTGTTCTTGTGTTTACAGTTTGTGGTTTGTCTGGAGGAGACAAGCCATGAGCCTGGGGTTCAAAGGACAGTCTCAGCCAAACTATGGTTTAGCTCAGCAGCAGGAGGATCATGAGTGGAGCTGCTGTGATCTCCTCACCAGGAGCCCTCATGCTTCTGTGTTCAAGCTAAGCCATGGTTTGACTTAGGGTTACATTACATGAAACCCAGCTCATTGTTATATTTTCTAAAGGCATCTAAAATTAGATGTATTAGCTTCAGCAAGGTTGCTATCTTCCCATGCCATTGGAGCTAACGTTGCTATTCCCCCACTGAAAGTACAGCACCTTCCTACTTCCTTCTTAATCACCAAGCATCTCTGTGATGCTTTGACATTTCAGTAATGTAGCAAAGCCTCAGTCACACCTGACAGCAAAGCACTATTTGGCCCCTTAAAGCTGAACAACTGATAAGTGTTAGTGAGTACTTAGGCATGGGTTCTGGCAAATACAATTAGGTATTCTTGTCCCCTGAACCATTCAATTGTCATTTTCTCCAGGACCCTCAGAATCTCATTTTGCTAGTCTGGAAGAGAATCTATTTCCTATTCTTACCTAATCTCCACCAACTTTTGTTAATATCTGATTTTAAGATATGAATTTAGCCCAGCTGCTTTCCTTATGAGAATTTGTTCATTTTTAATATGCCTTTGGTTGCCCATAACTCATTCTGAGCTCTTGATTTCTTTTCTGTGCAAATCTCAGCTACTTCTACACTGCCTGTCTGGTTAAAGATTTTTTTTGAACATTTATTTACTGTTTATATAGACTCCTTCCTTCTGTGATTGTTTTCCTGCTCCATTTTAACAATTGAGCCACTGATGGTTTTCCAGAATTATTTCAAATCCAGATACCAGTAAACCTTGTCAGAAGGTGGATTTAGTTATAATTAAACCAGTGCAATTTTATCAGTTGAACAGTCCTATAAGAAACAAGATATTGAGTTCCTCAGTAAGCCAGCTTGCTAGTCCTGAATCAAATCACCCACAGCATGTCTACAACACCAGTTTCATAGTTGTGCTTTATGCCAGTTTAATTGTTATGACTTCCCCCAACAAATGATAAGCATTATAGTTTTTGTTAGGGGCCTGAGAATTCTGCTACTGGTCCTCTTCATAGAATGATAGTTCCCTGAGGAAGGGACTCATCAGCAACCCAGCTTAAATTTGTGGCATAGGCATGTCCTCATATTTCAGAGAGGGAGAAACTAATATTTTCAATGTACTGAATCCTGGCCCATTGCCTTTAGTTTTCTCGGTTAGCATCTTACTACCTTTATTGTTAAGAATCTACTTCAGTCTTTCCCAAGTTGGTGCTCTCCATGTATTTTGGACTATAGCTTAGCATGGACAATGGTCAGGGATGATGGTCAGGACAATGGCCAGTTACAGTCCAGAGTATCTGGAGGGTACCAGATTGGGGGAGACAGAAATGCCTAGTGCTTAACACTTGCCTCTCCTTTACTTTTGCACCAGATTGATAAAGTGGGCTAAGATCTAGTTGCAACTGCATGGAAATCCCCAAGGGGGACAGAATTTGTGCTATGTTGTTTTTCTCCTTGGCAACTCAAGAATCCTGAGCTTCTAGCTGCTGGCTTCTGGATAAATTATTTTCCTTTGTTCTTTGCCGTACAGTCAATTAAACCCAAACCAAACCAAGCCAAATATAATTATCTTCTGCCATTGAATTGATATTTGAGAAAAGAGAGAACAAGCTATATTTGCAGCATTGAACCAAAACTGCCCGAAAAGAAGCAGAATACAGAAAAGAAAAGAGACAAAGATATTGTGAGCAAAAACGTTCAGAGACAGGTGAGTTGAGCAGGAAGGAAATGGAGCTTTGGGAAGGGAGAAAGGGAAGCAGGTAGGATAACGTAGCTGGCAGCCAATGGGGTATCTTCTGCCCCACAAAAATAAGCAGCACATGAAGACTTCGGTTGTTGAGTGTAAATGGTCCCTCTGTGGAAGCAGCTGTCATGCAGCCCTAAAGAGGTAACACAGTAAATAGGGTTTAATCATTCCTGAGACCACAAAGCTAAAATATCCCTCTTTGGGGAGATTCCTCAATTTCCAGCTGTAAGAACAAATCTGCACAGTCACCACAGTTTGTTCTGCCTTTTGCTTCTTGCTCAGATAAATGCTATCATCTGAATGGGTCCCAAATGTAACACTGTGGGGTTTCGTGACGGCAACGCAGTTATCTATGAAAATACAGTCATGTTGTCATGGATGTCAAGGTCTCCACCAGATTTCCTAGCTTATTGAGAGTGTTAGGCAGGGTTTGTTCTAGGTGAAGCCAAGTGACTTCATCTAGAAAGAATTACATTAGCTGAGAACACCCTTCCTCATTATTTAAGCAGTAAAATAAATAGGCATAATAGTTGGAATTGTGCCACCAGCTTTTTCCACTTTCAAAGAATAAATCAAAGATTGCATTCCTTTCTTTCAGATATGCAGAGGCGAGCCTTCCACGTGGTCCTGTCAGCCAACAAGGAGAGTCAGTTAACACTTCCTTATTCTTCTGCGGTTAAATGTGAATGAGGCATGCTTGCTGACCCTGAGCGGCTTCAAACCAGGGCAAAGAGCCACCCAAACAAAATCCTGCAAGGCTATCTCACACAGAAGAAGGTTACATTAAGAACATCGTCTGGCTCAGACTCTTTTCCTTTGATGATGTAATAAAAACAATCTTTCATAGGCCCATTTGCCAATGACTGGTCTGCTTTGAAGAGGAGTTATGTTACAGGCTATTCAAGCTGTTCATGGATTCCTCTCTTGAAGAAAAAATAGGAATTGCACCAAGGTGGCATGTGGGCTACTGGTGGATCCAAACCCAACGTGGCTTGACTGCCAAGTTTTGCTTTTGGACAACTCAAAATTTGACTCACAGTCTATGCAGTTAAAAGAGTTAGAGCATGGAAGAATAGCAGCTAACCTGGATATTCAATTCATATTGAAACACAGAGCCATTTTAATCTCTCCTCTTTGGGAGTTTTTCAGAGTTCTCTTCTGTGCTGCTCTGTTACAGGAACAAATACATGGTGGGGGTGGGGAATATTAGCTCTTTAGGATGACCTCTGTGTATGCTTACATTTCATCATGGGACCAAGCTGGCCTTTAATGACATTCAAATGCCAGCCATAGAATTGGCTCTTGGCTTTGGGGTTCAATCCTTGCCGCATGTTTAGGCCGTTGTAACACATCCAGTACTTGATTTGGAATTTTTGCCACTGGACTAAATCAGTCCCATGACGAGAGTGTGTTCTGGCAGAGCTCTCAATCAGTGCTGCCAGAGAAAACTTAAAAACATGTTCACATGTGTCAGATGTGGTCAGACTGAAGAAAAGAAAAGCGTCCAGAACTGAAAGGAGAACGCAAAAATATTAACAGAGAGAAGCGTGGCCTACATCTAAGCTGAAAGGATCCCCAAGTTGGTGAGGTTGTCATCGTCATCATAGACCAAACTGACTTGTTATTCATACATTTAAAGTACCCTGAGTTTGCTTTCTACTGCCAAAAAAGGCTCCTGCCTTTTTTATTGTCAACTTCACTCTTTCTGGTTTCCTCACTTGGCAATCTCTGCTTTCTGCATTCATAAGCCTCTGAAATGGAACGCCTAACCAGCTTCTGCTTAAAAAAATAAAATAAAATTAGAACCAAGCTAGCAAAAGACACTGCTGTTGTAAGAGTTTGGGGGTGGTAGATAATAATGTGCCCTCCTCCTTTCCCTTCTTACCTCCCCCAGTGTCCCCCCCCCCCAAGCTAAGGAAAAAATAAATAAAGAACATTTCTTATCATGTGTAGGATTTGGTGACCCAAGAGGGCAGCACAGCGAGATGCCAAAAGTCTTCTGACATACTTTAAAATAAATAAATAAGTGAAGCTCGGTTTCTTTGCCAAGTTTGGTGTTTTAACAGCAGCTTCTGGGGTTCTAAAGAGTCCGAATAAATGGAAAAGATCCCACATCCCATCTGCAGGGCTACGTCAGACATGCCGTTTTCCATGTCTGTTTGTTTGCTTTCAGACAGGGCTGTGCAATTCATGGCCGCCTAGAACAGCTCTCCTCAGAACAGTCCCAACCAGAGCAGTTTTGAGAGTTTCTCCTCCTTAGACTGTGGCGCTGCGGAGGAGAAAAATCCCCCTGAACCATCAATGTTAGTGTTATCCCTGCCAGTGATATTTAGAGAATGTGGCTATGTGTGCATGTATATACAAACCCACACCGCTATTTCAGTTCGGCTGCCGAATGCCAACCCTGTTATTTTCCACTAAGAGTTCATAATGCTGCCTCCAGACTGATGTTTCCGAAGCAGATTCAGAAGCCAGGAGATCTGAAGAGATGAAGGTTTCTTTCCATAGGCTTTCCCCCTGTGCGGTCGGCTGCCACTGGAATGGAGAACTGCTGCTTCGGAAGATTGTTCTTTTGCTTGGTTGCAGATTAGTCTCGAGTTCGGTTCCTCCTCCTCAGGAAGAAGAAGCTGCTCTTTTGGGGAGGTCCCAGTAACATCGGCACTTGGCTTTTGTGGGTGATTTTAATCTGAACGGAAAGAAATAGCATCAGGATTAGAGCATTGCAACAGCCATGATGCCAAGAGCTCAAGGAACCTAGGAAGCTGCCTTATGCCAAATCTGACCCACTGGTCATAGAATCATCGAATTGTAGAGCTGGAAGGGACCCCAAGGGTCTTGGAGTCCAACCCCAGCAATGCAGGTCTACCTAGCTTAGTACTGTTCACACTTGACTGGCAGAACCTCCCTGGAATTCCAGGCAGTGGCCTTTCCTAGTTCTGGCTGGAAATGCCGGGGGTTCCCCTAAGACCTTCTGCCCTATACCTATATCACCTTAAGGGTCATGGTTCCCCCACCCCCACCCCCACCCCCAAAATCCTGGCAGCTGTAGTTTGTTAAGGGCACTGAGAGTTGTTATTCCCACCAGAGACCCATAATTCTCAGAGTGGTTTATCAATCAATCCCTCATCCCAAGGAACTTTTGGACTTGTAGCTCTGCGAGTGGAATAGGGGTCTCTGAAGCATCCTTAATGAATTTCAGTTCCCAGGATTCTTTGAGGGGAAGCCAGGACGTTTTAAGTGGTATAAGCAGTGTTCGAAATTAGCCAGGCGTATTTTGTACCTGGCTTTTGACCACTTGCAACCAAGTGAAGATGCCTTGGATAAGTGGGCACCTTGCTGTGGATTGTATGTGGGTTTGTGGGGAGCAGGGACAGTATCCCATTGAAAACTGGGCAGTTCCAGTAGGCCACATCTGCACTTGAACATGTGTCTGATTTTATCCAGCAGCCCTTTTAAGCTGCAACAGTGCTTTTGCTTTCACGGATGGAAGCAGGGATGAGGAGCCTGTGACCATCCAGATGTTGTTGTATAAGACTGCTTTAAATGTATGGGGTGCCGGAATGCCCTCCTGTGACCCGATCAAGCCACCGTCAAGAGAGGCGCTGCTCACAAGTTCCACCCCCACACCTGTTGCATCAGGAAGCAGGGAAAGGAAGGACAAGTCTGCCCAGTTCCTTATGCAACATGAGCAAGGCTGCTTATCGGAATACCAATCAAACTGGAGGCAGCACTGTGATACGACCTTAAGACCTCTGGGTGGGTGTGGAGGCAGCAGAGGATCAGGACAACCCCCTGAGATGGTTCAGGGGTGGCAGCCAGGCTCCCAGGAAGCCACATAAAGCACTTCCTGTCTGACAAGTCATCTGCCACAAGGATAAGGCCTCAATGCAATATGAAGGATGGGGGCTGGTATTCAGCATCACACAGAAAAAGGAACTGGATCCCTAGATGCCTCCAGGTGCTTAGCACAATTGCTTTTGGGAAGATTTTTATACCACCAACAGTATACAGTTACAACCAATGCTTCTCTGTCAAAGGGTTTCAACTCCCTTAGGGGAACCTAGGAAACAGAAAAAGCACTATACAAAGTTTTCAATGACCAATGAAAAAAATGTTCCTAATGTTATTTCCTGACCACTGGTGACATTTGTATGTACACATGAATCTTAAGATCCTTTATTTTCTGCTGAAATTGTTCATTGCAACATTCTGTTCTACTCATTCGCAAATAACAGAGGACCATCTGTCTTTTTTACATGTCTAACCCATCCTCCTTTGATCTTCAGATGATGTACAATGGTGTGGAGACACAGAAGGTACAGCAATGTCCATAATGTTGTAGCAGTGTACAACCACCATAGGTCTCTCCCTCTTTCCCCTTTGATTTTCCATTAGGAATACAAATGTGACTGTCATTGCTGAGAAAGGGTTTGAGAATATAACATCAAAGGAGACAGGAAAATCATGCCTCCTCCTTCTAAAATTGTAGAGGGCTATTTGCTAGGATATTATAGTTATTTTGCTTCATTGTTTCCATGTGAAATAAAAGTTTATTTTGAAACGTAGTCCCTTCCCAGGATCCACAACTGAGATCTGGGTCTTACCTGCAGTTCATTCTCCAGAAAAGGGACAGCCAACATGGTATTCTCAGGATGTTCTCATCAACCCCAGCCAGCATGACCAATGGCCAGGGATGATGGAAGCTGTAATCCAACAACATCTGCAGGACACCACATCGGTCACTCCTGCTCTAGAGCAGTGTTTCCCAACCTTATGCCTCCAGCTGTTTTTAGACTACAATTCCCATCATCCCTTGCCACTGGTCTTGCTAGTCAGGGATGATGGGAGTTGTAGTTCAAAAACAGCTGGAGGCACAAGGTTGGGAAACACTGCTCTAGAGATCAATCTTCCATAGCTTCTAGCCCTGACAGATGAGCTACACTTGCATATCCCAGATCCCTTTCATGACATGCAACTACTCACTGTGCAAGGTGGCTGCATCCAGGGCTCTCCATCCACTTGCATGGGCAAAAGCTTGGTTGTCCTGGAACCCACAAGCAAGGCATAGTGAAAAAGTTAACAAGACTGAAGTGGATAAGCCAGGGCAGAAACTGTATCTTGTTGCAAGCTGATAATAACAAACATTTTTGGCAAAGAGGGAGAAAAACAAGGTGGTCTAGCCCTACATTCTATTACTCACAATGGAGATGGCTCAGCAATCTGTTGAGTGCAAGGAAGACCACAGTCAATTTCTGTGTTTCAGATCCACCTCTTAAATTTCATTCACCTTATATGTGAACCTGCTACCTGTTTTCCCAGAACACTCCTTGTGTGCAATGGACTTTTGTTCTAATCTCAAATACACCTCTATATTTCTGCCCATTTAGGACATTTTGCCATCTCGTTTTCAAATGCACCACTAGAAGGCTAGAAAATTGGAGCTTAGTATTAAAAATAACAGAGAGGATTGCAACAAGGACCTGCAACAGAGGTCAAGGGAGAGGAGTGCAAGGTACCTTCTTCTTTGCTTAAGCCTCTCACAGACCAGCTTGAAGCCTCTTACAACCTGCCCAAAGGAACCCTTAACATTCTCCTTCCTGCTTCTTCAACCAGTTGTCAAAGGTCCTGGAAGGAGATTGTCACTCAACCCAACTATGTTCCCCTGGGCCTGGAGGTCCTCTCAGCTTCCCTACCCCTTAGACTATCTATTCCACACGTCTTTCCTGTTTCCCATATGTACGAATAGGCACTCAGTCAGTAGCCCTTACTCACAAGCAGGATATAGTCCCAGTTGCTGTCAGGAGGAGCATTTGGCGCTGCAGTGACCAGTGGTGTGTTGATTGCCTTGGACTGTCCAGTAGGCATGGCTGCCTACCACCTCTACAGCCATTCTGCTGCTTCCCTTGCCTAGCAATCTTGCCTAGCAATCTCCTTACCCAGGACTAATTAGAAGGTGGAAATACTTCTTGGCCCTTCCAACACAACTTGAATCCATCCTTCTATAGTACAGAGTGCTGCATTTTATGGGTGCCATAGCTGCCTGAACTCTACAATGTTATGTGTGGCATAGGCCCAACAAGGCATCAATTTGAGTCAACAACAAAAAACAGATGTCAGTCTCTGCTCTCCCCCACTCCCCACGTGATGCTTTCCTGCCTGTACTGTGATTTCATGCTTTGAATACCATCCGGAGGTGTCAGCACACTTGAGCAAAAGCAAGATGCAGGGACCAAGAGCCTGGGGTGATTGGTACCTGATGGTAACGGAGGAACACTGAGCTAGCCTCTTGCCAGCACTTTTCAGTCCAGTATAGATCTGCCCCATCTCCATCGCCCCTTCAAGGCCCACAACTTCCAGGAGTTGGTCACTGAGATCTAATGAAAGAAAGGGTAATGTGTGAATAAAACAGATACAAGTATGGGCTTTGCCTTCTATGAGCATAACGCATAGGGTGGGAGGAGGGAGCAAGAGAAGATGCACTTAGGAGCAGAAAATGTGGTCTGAAGGCAATGTCTAGAACATCAACTTCAAGCTTATTGCAACAGATACACTATCATACACCAAAATGCTCAAGAAGATGAGCTTAGTCACATACAAAAAGTCTCCTCAAATCTTCTCCTTTGTGGTGCTGTGTGTGTGTTTTACTCTGTGCTGTATGCAGCTCAATATTTCTTGAAGTAGCTAAGATGGAAAAAACAGAGCCCAGTGCCATCTGAAAGAGCACCTCTCAAGCTTCAGATGGATATATACATGCAACGTATGTGCAATACCTTTAAAAAGTATTTAACATGGGCACAACGCAGCCAAATTTAGCAGAAATTTCCATGGAAAAGTTTAAGAGCATACAGAAAAGAGTGGAAAAAAATAAAAAAGGGGGTGTGAGGAATTTACTTGGGTGTTTTTTAATTCTGGGAGACTTTCTGTGTGTCATAGAATTCATCCTCTTGAGAATTTTGGTGTATGATATACTTTTGTTTCAATAAGTTTCAGATTAAACCATAGAGTACATAGTCCAGTCAAATAGCACCTTCCTATGTGCTCACCTAGGGACGCAGGTGTCGCTGTGGGTTAAAGCCTCAGCACCTAGGACTTGCCGATCGAAAGGTTGGCGGTTTGAATCCCTGTGGCGGGGTGCGCTCCTGTCGTTTGGTCCCAGCGCCTGCCAACCTAGCAGTTCGAAAGCACCTTCGGGTGCAAGTAGATAAATAGGGACCGCTTTCTAGCGGGAAGGTAAACGGTGTTCCGTGTGCTGCGCTGGCTTGCCAGAGCAGCAATGTCACGCTGGCCACGTGACCCGGAAGTGTCTGCGGACAGCACTGGCTCCCGGCCTATAGAGTGAGATGAGCGCACAACCCTAGAGTCTGGCAAGACTGGCCCGTACGGGCAGGGGTACCTTTACCTTTTACCTTATGTGCTCACCTTGCAATTGAATTCTCAGGTAAAGCAGGGATATTAATTCAGAGCTGGAAAAGAGCACTAAACTGTCAAGGAGTTTCTCTGCATTCTGCTTTGCCTTGAGATGAGTTAGTTTCTGCTCTTATGTGGGTCCTCACCTGGAAGACCTCACCAGTCTTAAGGTCACAATATGGGACAGGTGTTGTGGCACGAGCCATACCACTCACCATTCATGACATTACAGGCACCATCTACTGGTGCATGCAACTCTCATGCATGCAATACCAATACCAATACCAATACCAATACCAATACCAATACCAATACCAATACCAATACCAATACCAATACCACTCCAGATCACAATGCTAGGAAAAGAATCACATTTGCTGGGGAAATGTTTCAAGGGCTTGAGAAACGCGATATCCCTGAAACAGAAGCCCTTCCTTGGAGGAAGATGTCTTGATCCAATACAAAAGGAGTCATAGAATTGGAAGGGATCCCAGAGGGCATCATGGCCAACCCCCTGCAATGCAGAAATCTTAATTAAAGCATCCATGGCAAACGGCCGCCCAACCTCTCCTTAAAAAGCTCCAATGAAGTTCCACTGCCTCTCATGGGAGTTTGTTCCACTGATGAACAGCTCTTACTGTCAGAAAGCTCTTCCTGATGTTGAGTTGGAATCTCCTTTCTTGTAACTTGAATCCATTGGTTCGTGTCATACCCTCCAGAGCAGGAGAAAACAACCTTGCACCATCCTCCCTGTGACAGCTCTTTAGATATTTGAAGATGGCTATCATACCCAACTCCTTCAACTGTTGGTTTCCAGACAGTAAGGCTTGGTTTCCAGACAGACCCTTTACCATCTTGGCAGGAGCATCAACTGTACATGGGGTAGCACACTCTTGAGCAGCACCCACTCATTTTCAGAGGGGCGTGTGCAGGGTGACACACTGGTAGACTGTGCTGCCCAAAAGCGCTACCAGTGGTTGCTCATTTGTTGCACATCACACAAATATCTTAAGAAGAAGCCTTTTGGCTCAAGGGTATAACATTTCTTCCAGGCACTGAAAATGAGGCGGCAGCTAATGATAAATAGCTGGGCCTTGCCCTGTCCTGTTTTGGTGTTTGTTTGGCAAATCCTGTTGCCTAAGCTCAGCTGCGCGCGTGTGTGGTCTATTTTTTGTTTCCTTTTCTGTGCAGGGAAAAAAGCATGTCCTAGATGAACAATGAATAGCAAACAAGGAGAAACAAATGTGAAAGCGGAGCAAACTGGAGGCTTTTGCCTACTTCACACCCAACCATTTGTCCATGCCAAGGATGCACCTGCAGTCCTAATAGTAAGAGTCATTTCCTTCTGCATTGCCGCGAACCAGCATTTTTAATTCTCCAAAGCTAGGCTTGGCTTGAAAGGCCTCGAGAAATTGGCGTCGGTGGCCTCAGACTATCCCACAGCCTTAATTTCCTTCCTTTGCTCAGTGGAGCCCATTGGACTAATATGTTCCATCTCTGAAATATGGCACAGTCTACACAGTCAAGAGTGTTTTTCTCTGGTGTGGTTCTTTCTTCTTCTTCTTCTTCTTCTTCTTCTTCTTCTTCTTCTTCTTCTTCTTCTTCTTCTTCTTCTTCTTCTTCTTCTTCTTCCAGGACACAAGAAATGTAATTAAGCTGTGGATCGGGGCTACTTGCACCTCAAACCTCAAAGGGCTCTGCCGTAACATGCTAACTTGGGCAAGAAGGAGGTGTTTGCTGACAGTCTGAAGATCAGACTGATAGCAGATCATGCAAAGCTGCATTGTTAAACCAATTCCTTTGTGTGACTCAAGCCTAGTTTATAAATAATCTGTGTTTTTGTGTACTGCAGAAGTAGCTGCTCCAAAAAGCAATAATTGACATTCCTCAGAATCAGCCCTGCAAACCTTATCCTGATATGCTGGATGGTGCTTGCTTTTAGGTTAGTTATCCATTATTACCTGTGCAGGCAATGTAAAGGCGGCATGGAAGCTCACAAGGCTGCTGTGTGCCAACTCACTTGTGAACCAATCATTCCAGGAGGTGAAGAAGTGGAAAAACGTGCGTAGGAGGGAAAGCCAGGTGGGCTGAATATGGCCTGCAGGCCTTCAGTTGCCGGCTTCTGCTTTAGTGCTCTTAAAGTTGCAGTCTTCAAACAATTACCTCCAGTTTGAAAAAGTAATTTGAAAAGGTGCCATCTACTCTTCCAAATGAGGGAGATGCCCAAAGGCTTGCTTTGAGGGTTGTGCAGCAACCGTCTGCAGACCTTGCTGCCTCTGATTCTGCTTCAGTCCTCTCCGCTCAGAAAATTCTCTTGCATTAGTCACCATGGAATATTCTGGAGAGAGCGTTGTTTCCCCACCTCTGTAACTTCCTTTCCTTTGCTTGTATTGTAGCTGTATTAAAGCATCCTCTTAGTCATTCTGCCATGCCTAAATAACACCTGCTATGCCAGGCTCCTTCCCAATGCTTTCCGCTTTCTCCCACGTGTACATAGGTCTTTTTCTTATTTTCAGCCAGGCACTCTCACCAAAAGAGCATTTCAGAGAAACCGGTAGTTGTGGGTCCATGAATCCGAGCCTCCTTTTCATTTCCAGCAGCTCAGCCCTGCCCTGCTGCGCCAGCGTCGTTATTAGCTGAAGCCCTTTAATATTTAATTAACCTACAAGATCCATTTTCTGTAAAGACTCAGACTCAGAGGAGACCAGCATGGGTAGAAGGAAATTAAATATGCAACCTCTAATGAAATTCAGGTTAAAGACAAACATAAAAATAACTGCCCCGTGGAAAATGCTGATTTTAAAAGTGTGGCGTGAGTAAATAACTCCCTCATCCTGAAATCCATGCATTTATGTTGATGATAGGGAGGAATGACTAAAAACATAGGGGCGGGAATGAGGGGGAATCTTAGAATCATAGAATCATAGAGTTGGAAGAGACCACAAGGGCCATCGAGTCCAACCCCCTGCCAAGCAGGAAATCTTGTTGGACTCCACTTCCCATCAGGCCCCAGCCAGTATGGCTAATGGTCCAGAGAGATGGGAGCTGTAGTTCAGCAGTATCCGGACAACACCACATTGGCTACTCCTGATTTAGCTCAGTCTTAGTCCAGGAGCAAGATCCACTCATCCACCCACAGATTAAGTGGGGCAATCTGGAGCACTGTGTACTGACAGCAGAGACAAAGCAAGTTGCTTATAAGACTAGCAGATTGAATTGATTCATCCAAACAAGTCAAGCTGCACCTGGCTGTTTCTTTAGCAGAAATGGTGATTGTGTTTTTGGAACAGGTAACATAGTGGAGGGTGGGGTGGGGGGTGGAAGGACTAGACCAGGGGTCAGCAACCTTTTTCAGCCGTGGGCCAGTCCACCATCCCTCAGACCATGTGGCGGGCCGGACTATATTTTGAAAAAAAATAATGAACGAATTCCTGTGCCCCACAAATAACCCAGAGATGCATTTTAAATAAAAGCACACCTTCTATTCATGTAAAAACACACTGATTCCCGGGCCGTCCGTGGGCCAGATTGAGAAGGCGATTGGGCCGCATCCGGCCCCCGGGCCTTAGCTTGCCTACCCCTGGACTAGACAGTCAATGTACTGTATCCTTATTCTTATTGCATCTTTCCCTCTTTGTCCATGCCCTGTTGTGCCCTTTCTCAAGAGACATCCTCGCACTCACAGCTGGAAGCCAGCCGTGTTGCTTACATTAAAAGATTATTTAGATCTGTTAATTACGGCTCTTTGAATGCTGCATGGTAGACTGTCACTAGGAGGGCTGGCTAATTATCAGGTGTGCCCTGCCACGTCCACAAGCTCTAGCTGGCCTCACGCCACCCTTTTCAGCCTCTGCCTTGCTGAGCAATCTTGGAAGGCAATCGGGACCTGAGGAGGAGTGCCAGGCTGGCTCTCAACATGAGAGCAAAAAATAAGTAACTATGGCCGCAGTCCTATACGACGACATGGACCTGGAAGTTAAGTCCTATCGAACTCTATGGGAATACTTTGAGGAGGCATGCTTAAGATTGCACTGCCCACTTCCCTTCTATTTTTGTACCTATAGTTGCTGCTGAGCTTGGTTGATGTGAAGTTGTAGCTGTACACTCCCACTTGCTACTCAGTTTTGAAAACTGATCCTCAGTGCTTGATCTTGACTGGATTCCAATAAACTCCACCTCCTGTTAGGACTGGAAAAGTCTCTGGTCTCAGGTTGGATTTCAGACAGGACACCTTTTTTCATGTATTCAAGCTCCTCCTCCTCCAAACTTCGTGGGCAAAGGGTGTGTCCAGTGGGAGGAGGAGAGCCAAGAACAAGAATTATCATGGGATGCGAGCAGAGGACTGGGGTGGTGCCAGGAGGAAGAGTTTGAGAGAGAGAGTTTTTGTGTGGGCAAATGATGGGTTGGGGAGAACGAGAGAGAGGGTTTTGCAGGGGCCTGGTCCAGTGTGGGAGAGAGAGTTTTTGTGTGGCTATACACGTAAAGCCCAGCTACATATGTAATATGCAATACTTTTCTTATAGTTGTAAATCATAGTGCTTTTGCTGTTTTTTTCATTGAACTGTAAACACTGTTGATCTTGCCACTAACCCCAAATGTCAGCTGCAGCCACTTGAACCCAGCTCTCTTCTCAGTTCCTTTTGGGAACTTTAAATCCCACCTCCCACTTTAGACTTGATCCGTTCAGACCTGGTTTTTGGCTTGCCACTGTCACGTGTGGTTTGGGCCTAGCAAATCTAGTGAACAGTGACACAATGCGCCTGTCTTGATGACCTATAAGGCGTCTGCTCTGGGAGCTCCTGTGGTGACAGCTACCATCCTGCATGCAGCAACTTCTACTGAGCCATGAGAGGCAAAACAAAACCTCCTTCCTTATCGTTCTGGGATCTTACCTACCCGTCTTGTAACCTGCTTTTGCTCTAATTTCATAGGAAGCGTTACGTAAATTTCATGAAGGTTTTCTAAACAAAGCAAGTGGTAATTAGCATAAGTGAGCCAAGTTTTGCAAGAGAGGAACTACCAGGCTAGAAAGAGGAAAAAAACGACAGAAACCAGATCAGTTATCTTTATCTGTATCAGCTGAAGTCCCTGAGGGAAGAGAAGCCCTATCCTTGCCCACTAAACTGGAAAAGCAGCTCCTGCAGCGCTAGAATTGCCAGCTTATTCTGGGTGTGCCAGGTCTCCCTTGTGGCAGGTAAATATCTTCTCCACATGGCATCATAGCAATAAAAAGAATAAAGCTTCATGTCAATCAACTATTGGAGGCACGAGAGCTCTGCCAGAAGAGTTGCCAGCTCCAAGCAGCAGACTGGGCATCTCAGCAGAGTTATATAGACCAGGGATCCCAGCACTGCAACAAACTTGGATGCTTCTTCTGTTTCTTCACCTGCTTCAGTAATATCATCACCAACTTTAATGACATCAAGTCAAAGCATCAAGGACTCATTCATCCAACATACCCTAATGTTATGCATGCCACCATGTGCCAGAAATGCCCCTTTTGCTAGTTTAGAGTGCTGACAGGTTAAATGGGGTGCTGTGATATAACTGAACAACACAAAATGAACACAAATCAATTTTACCCCGCCTTTATTTCTCCCTCTCCTTCCTTTGTGGTCTACCTGGTGTCAGTTTCAATATTGTAAGCCCCTAGGGAGCAGGGACCTGACCTTTCCTAATTTGAAAATGTTATATAGTTGGATGGTAGTATGGAGATATGCAAATTACATAAACTAGATGCAAAAAGTGCATACATTCACTTTTACAGGTTGGTTGTTATACTCTAGTTCAAAGGGCAAAGAAGAGCCAGAGGCAGCAGAACTGGAGTTTGTAAACACACTTGATAAGGGCATAACTAAAGTTTAGCAGTGCAATCCTCCATCAAATTCTGCATTGGCAGGGATTACGGCACAGCTCCCATTTATTCAAATGGAGAGGGACTGTGCCTTTTTGTATCGGCTTTGCTTTACAGAGGTGATGTGTTCTGGTAATTTCTGTTATTGCTAGTTCTCAGCCCATTACTGTTGCTTGCAAATATCTCAGCGCATATGCATAAATGCCCACAGTACTTTTTTCAGGGGGGAACCTTAAGTTTGGCCTCATTGAGGGGCAGTATTTCAATATGAGTAGGAAAATGAGAGTAACCCCTAAACATTTTTAAAGAAAAAAGCACTGCGTGCCCATCACTTTCACTGAGCTGAGAGCCACAACACATCTTTTTGGCCCTTCAAAACTGGCAAGTTTTTTTGAGTATGGATTACACATGTGGCGGCAGCAGTTGCAGAAGGCCAGCTCTTAAAATGTCTGTAGCTACCCATCCACTCATCCTATTGCGATCATAGCAATAAATGCCCTTACCTTGAACACAGAACTTGAGCTCCTTGGCATCAGTAACCACTGAAGATTGTAACTTTTCAGGTACCTTCTTGCTCATTCGGTTATAGCTGCGTTGTTTCTTGGTCTCCCCCCAGAGATTGGAGCCGCCATACATGCTGGGAATGTTGAGGACTGCGATACCTTCCAGTGAAGTGGTACTCAGATCCAGAACCGTTCCATCACACTGGCAGGTAATGGTGGGAGACAAAGATAAAGGAAGCTATTGTGAGGCATAAAATACCCTGCATCAATGCACTGCATTGTTATGTATTTATTTAAACACTTCTATCCCACTTTGCTAATAATCCAAGGTGACTTCGAACTGCCAAGGAGCCAATAAAACACCACCTTTATCAAAACACATCACAGCATTAATGTACAATCAAGAGTATCATTCTAAGACTGTGGAAAGCTTTCTGAAACAGAAAGGCATTGAATTCCCCCTCCTGTCGAAAGCTGAGCGATGACTTAGAAGTGCACTCCAAAATCTCAAGGGCGCTAGGAAAACGACTCGGCACACTTTTTTTTACAGCTGTTTTTGTGCATTTATCCTGCATGGGGCCTTGCTGAAAGATTAGAACAAGTGGAGAGGTGTATGTGTGCATATGTAGAGAGAGGCATTCTCTGAAGATAAAGGCCATGCGGGATTTCAAGGGAGAGAACCAGTAGCTTGAATTGGGCCCAGAAACAAACATGAACCAAGTACAGTTGACATAAAACAGGCTGAATATGTTCTCACTTCCCCTTTCCTACATGGGAGGCAAGTCCCAGCATTCTGAACCTGCAAAAACCTTATGGGCAACATTACAAGGCCGCCCCATGTAAGATACCTACAGAAATTAATTTTGAAGATTATGCAAAGATAACGGCAGCAAGAGCCTGGGTGTGCAGCTGGTGCATCTGTTGCAAAATGCATGAAAGATACTCCTTGGTGTGACTTCTGCTAGTGAAGTGGCAAAGCCTGATGGCAAAATTATTCTGATAAGGTAACTAAAATGCTTTCAACAACAGATAAACTCACCTCACTTAAAGTTGTGACAGTTAAAGTGGCAAATCACCAACACATTTGCTTCCAGATACCCTCTCTCAACATAGCCTTAAAGGATACTTCCAGGGACGAATGACCCTACAATACCCTCAAAAACTGAGCAAAATATACTTGCATCACCTTTTATAAAAGGGGAGGGAGGCTTGAACAGTTTTTTTTTAATTGATTCAAGAAGCTTGCTAGAAATGCTAGTCATCACAGGAGCAACAGACCCAGACATCAACAGAAAGCTATGTTTAAAAAAGCAGGTCTAAATACAAGGTAGATGAACAGCAGTAGGGTCTCTGCTTCAATTCAGAAGGAACAATGATTGCCAACAGTTAAACTTGGTTCTGTTGTTTTTCACGGGAAGATTATGATTGAACCTTCTCTGTGCTGCTGGGTAAGCAAAGGTCTGGCAGGCCACAGAACGTGATACAGATGCCATATATTCACACAGCAGAGGAACGAGCATCCAATGGGCAGAGCGAATGTTTCCCTCTTTAACCGTGCTCTGTCTCTGTGCCAGTGTGGTACAATGGCCTCTTTGAGAAGGGGCAGCTGACAGGCTGTTGGCAGGGAGACTGGAAGTAGACATTTGCAGCTGGGGAAAAAACCAACTTTATTTCCAGGAGTCTATACCGTAACTGATGCCAATTTCCAAAACAAAACTGTCATTTCACTGTGCTCATGACAGATGCCTGGAGCCAGAGGGAGGGCAAACTGTTGCTTTCATGCCACCGGATTAACACTTTGCAGCCCTGAGAGTGGGAAATGAGGGCTATCTATTTCCACGAGCATTACATCTAGGTGCCTTTCCCATTTCACTGATGTACATCAGTACAGAACCTGAAAAAGGCTCAAATAATTTGGCTGTAATCAATAAGCCTTTTTCTGTCTCAGAACATTTATCACACTGTGACAAGTGTTAGCACCCTAGCCTGTGTGGAGGTTATAACAACAGGCCTGGAAACTTTTCTTGCAGATCCTATTGTGATGGTTTGGGTGAGTGATGGTTACTTTGCACATCATCAAAAGTGTTATTGTCTTTATTACTTCCCATGTCCCATGACTCAGCCATGGGACGGAAAACAGGTTCTGGGGCTAAGGCCAAGCACCAGCTGGGCACTGCTCACTGCATATTGCCCCAAAAGCTTCTGGCAAGATTTGCTGTTTGTATATTCCACATCTGACTTCAATTCTCAGCCATGAATCCCTTTTTGCATTGTGTTAAACAAAATAGTCAAAGACAACCATTCAATTGAAAGACAGCTTTGTATTTTTCCCCTAGGCCAGCTGGCTCACAGAGAAGAAACCCCAAAGAAGAATCAAAGGTACCAATTCTAAGGATGGGATGGAGCTGCAGAGTAGGGCATCTTCCATACCTCACTGCAGCTGGAAAGGGCAACTTCTAAGGCTTCCTATATACTATTCCTCAATATCTGCCCTTCTTGTGTCTGGAATGCCTCTTTATGAAGTATTTCATTGCCTCCTTGTTCTGAAAGTTAATTTCCCCCTAAATGCTTAGCTTAAAGTCTCCCCACTTACTAACATGGTTTCTAAAGAACTGGAACTCCTGCTTTCCTTAAGCATGCTTTTGCAAGTTTAAGCAAATATCAGAATTTAGGAAATTTTGAAACTGTCTGATAATTTTTTTTAGCATTTTAGGAGGATGAACTTTGAAACAAAAGGTATCCACGTCTGCCCAGGTGTAAGCACCATGTCTGCTATTTTAAGCAGTTACATGTGTTCTTGATTAAATTCATAAGTCTGGTGATGGGCAATATTATCTGGCAATTCTTAAAACTGTTAGGAGGCCACTGGAATATGTCAGAAAATTTTGACAACTGGGTACTGATGTAATGGGCCCACAGCCAGCAAGGTCCCCAGATTCTGAGCTTTCATTTGAAAATTATCACATCATCCCGAAAGAAAGCTAGGAAGCAAAATGTGCAGATACCCTTCTAACATATTTCTGTAAGATAAACCTGCCTGGCTGCTTCTACCCTTCACTGCTTTTACCCAAAGAGTCAGTGCTGTGATTGAAGAGTGAGTTACTTTGATAATAGGTGATAGGAATCCCTGGTTCCTAAAGAGCTGCTGGTCTTTTGAATCAGTACAACTTCTGACCTGGGTTGCTGTCTCACTAGTTTTAGGGCTCAGATGAGGTCATTAAATGTGCTTATCTTCCTTATAATGATTCAAAATGATCGTTAAGCTGAATAAAACAGCATGAAAGTAAATGGCAATGTACATAGCATACATATCCCAAATGTGAGGGTAACAATATTAGGGCAAGGGGGTTTCTGCCCCACCAACCTCAGCCTGCCCTTAGCCAGCCCCCAACTCCTGTCCTTCTTACTTACAACCAATCCAGAGAGTGGCATGACCTGCCTGCTTCCTCCCCTTAGCTTTCCTTGCCACTTTCCCCCTGGGAAAACCTGCTGTTTACCGCTGAATCAGAGCAAACGTCAACTGGGTTTTCTCTGAATTGATACTGGCTTCAATTTAGTGCTAAAAAGTGGGTTTACTGGGTGAAAGTGGAAGGGCAAAGGCAAAACCTCTCAGTGTGGATGAGCCTTAAGTCTCAGTGTTGCCCTTTTTTAGAACTCAGAAAGGAGAAGTATGGCGACAAAACTAGAATTAGTTGGCTCAGCCTTGCGATTGGCTCTGACTCTGCCTAATGTTGGGCTCCCTGCCTTCCACCCTACCCATCCCAATGGTCACCAGCCACCACTGGAGGATAAGACTGCCAGGATCCAGCACAGACGAGAAGGACCTAGGAGTTGTAGTGATTCACAAACGGAATACAATCTCAGCAGTCAATGCCTGGAAAAGAAAGGCAAATGCTATTTTCAGCTGCACTTATTTTATAGATGTACTGGGTGTGCAGGACGTAGGAGGTAATAGTAGCGTTCACTTAAAAACCAAACCAGTAAAGCACCCCTCCCTAAATTTTAAGTAATGTTGGACAATGGGGGAAAAGTTCCCTAGGGAAGCTGTGGAATCCTGCAGGGTTTTTGTTTTTTGTTTTTTTGCACCCTGTTACTAAACGAATCAGAGATACAATTACTAGAAGGTCAGGTCAGGAGAAGTGTCCAAATGAGTGGGACTCAGAAACTTGATGTGTTGGGGATGGCTCAGGTCCAACTGCGCATAAGTTTTGTGCTTTATAAAAAGCAGGCTTATTAAGCCCCTACCAAGGCTGAAAGCAAAAAAGGGAGCTGTAGAGTGAAGGAGATGGAGAAGGAAAAGGGTAACAACAACCCAGCAATCAGCAGTATGGCATGTCCACATGGGGCTTTTGAGATGAGCTGGATATGCTCACCCAGTGCAGTAAAGTAAAAGAGAAAGGACCCCTGGACTGTTAAGTCCAGTCGGATTCGACTATGGGGTGTGGTGCTCATCTTTGCTTTTAGGCCGAGGGAGCCGGCTTTTGTCCACAGACAGCTTTCTGGGTCATGTGGCCAGCATGACTAAACTGCTTCTGGCGCAATGGAACACTGTGACGAGTGCCAGAGCGCACAGAAATGCCATTCACCTTCCTGCCACAGTGAAACTCCAGACACAAAAATGGTTGAGCTTTTTTTTGAGGGGGGGGGGGCAAAACTGATGAGCTACTTTTTTTAGTTTTGCCCAAAGTTGCCATATGTCCATATTTTCCCAGACATTTTACCGATTTCTGCCCAGACACAGCTTCCGACAACAGTACAGTACCGACTACAGCCAATGTGGTGTAGTGGTTAAGAGCGGTAGTCTCATAATCTGGTGAACCGGGTTTGCTTCCCCGCTCCTCCACATGTAGCTAGTCCTTGGGCTAGTCACACTTCTTTGAAGTCTCTCAGCCTCACTCACCTTGTTTGTTGTGGGGGAGGAAGGGAAAGAAGAATGTTAGTTGCTTTGAGACTCCTTCGGGTAGTGATAAAGCGGGATATCCTATCCAAACTCCTCTTCTTCTTCTATTCTGTATATGTCTGGGAAATTCCAAATGTATGGCAATCCTAGCCACAGCGGTACCTATTTTTCTACTTGCGCTGGCGTGCTTTCAAAGTGGTAGGTTGGCAGGAGCTGGGACATAGCAACAGGAACTCACCCCGTCACGAGGATTCAAACCACCGACCTTCCGATCGGCAAGCCCAAGAGGCTCAGTGGTTTAGACCACAGGGCCACCCACGTCCTCACCTTTACCTCACCCAGTGCACTGCATCCCCAAAAGCTGCACATATACACAGAGTTAATCTAGGCTGGCACCTCCCCACTCTGCAAACAAAACTAGAATATTAGCAAGGCTAGAACAGACAGGGCTATGTACACAACGGTGGAGGGAAGGATGCAAAAAGAACCCTAGTGGGTTATCTAGTCGGCATCCTTCTTCCTTCACTGGTGAACAAGGTGCCTCTGGGAAGCCCAGAGGCAGGACATGAGTGCAGCTGTGCTCTCCTGCTGCTGTTTCCCAGTGCTGTCTCTGATCATTATGACTAGCAGCTATGCGTAGCCTTTTCCTCCATGAAATTGTCTACACCTGGGACCTTCAGCATGTACTCCAGCAGCTGCTCCACCAGTGATCTACAGCCCTTCCTCTGAGGATCATGGGGCAAGCCTTCAAAACAGGTGGCGCTCCCCTGTTGCCTTTAAAAGCACTGCCATTGCTTTTGACAGGAGGCCATCTTCTGCTGTGTTGGACAGGGGGAGTCATTTGCAAAACACTCCATCGCCAGGGCAAGGTTTTTTGTGCCAGCTGACGTTTCTGCATTCTAGCTTTAATGAATAACTAATGAAAGGTTCATTTATCCACCGATGGGGAAAGGAGGAAGTTTACAGAAAACACACACCTCCCCAAAGCCCCAATACAAACTGTGTAAAAAAGAAAAGAAAAAGAGAGAGTAAAATGACAGGGCTCTTAGCAACCCCTGGCAAGCTAAGCTGTTCACACTCCTGTCTAATTAAAGGCTGTTTTCATCTAGCCCAAAGATTGCTGTATGCAAACACGGGGTGTACACACTCTCTCTCTCTCTCTCTCTCTCTCTCTCTCTCTCTCTCTCTCTCTCTCTCTTCCAGCCAAGCTCTGAAGTACAGCTGTAAGGAGGAGGGGAAGAGGCTAAATTCTGCTCTCCTCCAACTGACTTCAGAGATGGCAAGAGCCCAGATGCTGGGACCAACAAGTACACTTGAAGGAGGATCCCTCAGTGATGTGTATGCACTTTTAAAATGCTGCTTAGTGTCTATGGCTGTTTTTCTTTTCACAGAACTGCTGCCTTTGGTATCTGAGGAGCTTCCTCCACGGCAAAGAAACTGCCCCCGTGCACCCAAATTAGCAGTGGATGGCAATGTCACTAAAGGATAGGCTGGACTGAACTTCTGGCTGTTTGCAGAAAAAGAAAGCTTCTGTTTACACACTGAACAATGAAGGGCAACAGGATATTTATTGTTAGCTGGATCTGAATGTGTTTTAATCCAAAGTCTTGCTCATATCTGTAACTGTGAGCCCAAAGCAGGATTCCAGCTCCAATTAGCAATAAGATGGGGATTGTTTTCAGGAAGGCTGTGGAAGTCATAAACCCGGGGGGTGGGGGGGAGGAAGTGGCCCTCCAGTAATGTCCCTTAGGCAAAGCTTTCCTGGGAACTTTTCTCTTGACTCCCTCCTGGGCTGTAGATCCATGTTTGGAAGAAAGAGGCAAAATGTACCTGCTTCTTAGCCTCCCCTCTTCATTGCATTCGGAAGCACAGTGGAGACTAAAAGAATGCACCAGACTTTCTTTTAATTTGGTCATTTCCTGACAACCTATTTATTTGAGCATTCATCCTGATTTGCTCGCACAAAGTGTGCAGGGAGGTTAGACACCATCGGCTTCCGACTGAACATTTATTCTGATTTGCTTGTTGAGAGGTTCTACGGCACTGAGTCAAGCAAGTGTTGTTCCACTCTTTCCAGTGCATTTTCCCGTCATAAATGGCCAAGCCTTTAAGGTGCTACAAGATGGTTTGAAACTTCTGCCATAATATTTAGAAAAAATGCGTACAACAAACCTGTTCTTCAATTATTAGTAAAATGTATAAGATCAAAGTTTTAGCTGATTAACACATTTATTTTGTGTTTGGGCCAAACACTTTCTGAATGCAGCAACATGCTTTCTTTGTTTTTAGATGATGCACTTACACATCGTACTAGACATTACAATAGAAGAGGCATTCCTTTGTGTATGGGAGAATGCCTCTTTTAAAATGGGACGACACCTACAGTTTTTATATGCATCTGACTATATATTCATAGTATGTTGGGAACGCCCCCCCCAACTCTGCTACCCAGTTAAACAGTGGCACCATTTTAGCCAATTAACATTTTAATCTATTGATATAACCAGCCAGTTGATTAAATTGATTAAACATTGCAGCCTTTATTATTTCTTATAATCTGGGGGGAAAAGTTCAAGCAAGTTTGGAGCTCCGTTGCTGGTGTTATTTGCCTATCAAAAATACTCTCAGCGTTGACTAATAGTACAAGGGCTTGTTTGGAAATATAGGAACCAGATACCTTTGTAGTTTGGATTTAGCCACTAGTATAAATCCCCCCCCCCATGTCTATTACACAGATTATCAGGAAACCAGCATGGGAGCAGAACAGGTGCTAAATAATAGGTACCTTGACTCAGCATCTCAAGTCTTGGAAGATCTCCACTGTGGGCAAGTCTTAATTGCCTGCAAAGCTTATGGTTGCCTAATGGATTTGATCCATACCTGCTTTGGGTATGAAAGGACAATGGGTTTCTTTCCTGCTATTAGTGTTAATTAGCTGAGAAATGCTACAGTGGAAGTGTTATCACAAAATATTGGTGTTGTGAATGGCCACTTAGGATATACCCACACTTAACGTTTCTCTTTTCTCTGTTCTTTCCAGGCACAGTGCATGCTTTAAAACTGCATGTCCAATCAAAAATCTGCTCTTTAAAGCTCAGTTGGAACAGATGTCAACCCGTGGAAACCCCAAATTGACGTTTGCACCTATTAAGCACTAAAGAGTGGCTTTTTGCAGGGAAAGCTCCAGGGCAAAAGAACCCACTTCAAATTGCTCAGACACAGAGCTTTTAAGTGTGGACTTGTGCCTGGAACATGTGGGACAAAAGGTAAGTGTGGATAACCCTTAATTTGGAGTGTCACAGACTCTACCTTTTACAGTTCATTGACACTTGACCTGACTTTTTACATTTCCCCCCCTTTCCTCTGAATTCATAGCTATAACATGCATGGCATCTGATGAACTGCAGTCTAGTCTGTGAATGGTGAAGCCATAATACAGTATATACCCACCAGTTTTTATGGTCCTTCATCGCTTTTGTCACAACCAAATAACACGGTTACTCCTCTGGAAGCAATGAATTTATAGCGACTCTGAAAGCTGATCCCTACATCATTCCTGCCATGTCAAAACTCCTGGAAACTGTTCAAGGTAGTGGCAGCAGGAGCTCCATGGTACTCTTCAATGTCACAGCGGCTACATAGAGTAAACCCCATTAAGGAGTATTCCTAGCAGCTTGTGTGTGACAGGTGTAAGATCAGCTTAATGGAAATGGGGGGCCGGAAGGGAAGCTTGTATCAGCACTAAGAATTACCCACATAGTCTCCTGGGCAACAAAGAGGCACTGCAATCATCTGGACAACAGTCTCCAGTAGAAGCGGCAATTTGAGGATCCCTGGAAACTCACCTCAATCTCTACATAGTCGTGGAGCTTCTTGCAGGTGGCGGCAAAGGTTTCCGTTGTGCCAAATTCAAAATACCAAAGTTTATTCTTCATTCTGACAGAGAGAACAAAGAGAGGGGGGCATTACAGAAGGAGAAATCCCTTCCATCATCTCCTTTTCCGAACATACTGTCCTCTCCAGCAGTCACTGAGCACCATATCTACTGCAAATATTTGCATGCAGAGAACTACCACTGGAAACAGTTAGAAAAGAACATCTTTTGCCTCCTAGAAAATTAGGGCCATTGTGCGATTGAATTCTCAGCCGGCACCATAATCTTTTGCGCAGGGTGGTCTGGTGAAATGCAGGAGACGGGAAGAGATTCAAATTCACAGGGGCATTTTTAAACCATTACACAGAGGGAGTACCAAGGCTCCGCAGAAATAAAAACTTGGAGTGCTTATCCAGGCTTACTCCAAAATATCTGTGTTTGGACAATAAATTTGCAAATCCTAGTTGAAAGACTGGGACCAGTGAGATCTCTCTGTACTGTAATCCACCCAGAATAGGTGGCAGGGGGGATCACCTTGCTGTAGAGGGACAGCCACACTGCTGTTAGGCTCCTGTAAGCATAGAGGAGGTGATGAGGTGTCCATAATCCTCAAAGAATAAAACAAAATAAATGCAAACAATGCATTTCTCTGTTTTTCATGAAGGGTGGTGGTGGGGAATTTCGAAAGGAGAGTAAGATTGGTGATGTGATAATTGCCACTTAAAAAGTGGGGGAGGTAGATGACCATATGTGAACTGGACTGGTGTAGTGGGAAGAAGAATGTCAGCCTCCAAAGTATTTTGTGTTTGTGTGTGCAAAATGGCCTTGGTGAAAGGGAAGGTATTGCTTATCATCCTCCACAGGCATTCTCTGACTGCCTTCTCCAGAGCAACCGCAACAGGAGTGCTACCAGAAAGAAGAGTCAGATTTTCCCAGATTATACAAATGTAGCACATCTCATGTTGGGGAAAAAAGGCATTATTCCTGAAACAGAAGCATCATGAAACATCAAGGGATGCCATCCAGACTGCATGCAATAAAATGGCAAAAACTGCATGATTATCACGCTAAACACTGATCATCCCAAGGAAGTTGGCAACTCTCTGGGAAACTACCAAGAGTCACCCACTCAAAGCTGGCTGGAGCTGGGTGCCAGGCTGGAAACATGAGAAATACCACAAAGATAGCTTTCCATGTGGCACCTTGCTATGTTTGAGAAAAACTTGCACTTTCATGCATATGACTTAAAACACTGCAAATGTATCAGGAGCAACAATGATGGGTCAGTATCAGCGGCTTCCTTTCATTGTGTGCATGTGCAAGAGACTCAGGGAAAACAGCTCCTTAGTTCCTTGGCTGTTGTCTATGATGGTGGAATACAGCAATTTGAGGTTCCTGTGAGGGTCATGCAAAGCTTTGTCCTGGAACCCAATGTGAGACTTGCACCACAACCATGGAATGGTGGCATATTCCATCTCCTTTGTGGGGTAATTAAGACAGCAGGTGCAATAACAGCAGGCAGTACATACCTTCTTAAGAGCTCAAGGTTAAGCTGATACTTAACATTATTACTTTTATGGGTTCATACACACTTAACTTTGCTCTGCGTCTCTAGGCAAAGATCTGGGCTCTCCAGGTCCGTGTCCAAGCATGGTGTGTGTGTGTGTGTGTGTGTGTGTGTGTGTGAGAGAGAGAGAGAGAGAGAGAGAGAGAGAGAGAGAGAGAGCTTGCCCCACATGCCATTTGCTCTGATTTAGCAGTAATACACAAATTTCTCCTGGAAAAGCTTTGGGACACACACACAAAACCATGCTCAGACATAGACCTAGAAACCACAGACCTTTGCTTAGAAGCGAGGAGCAAAGATAAGTGTGGATGAACCCAAAAGTCATCAACAAGGCTTCATGTTGATATTTTATTTTGTTTTAAGAAGTATAAGCAAAAAAGGGAAATTTTCAAAGGAGAATCTCAATTGTTTGAAACTCAAAAGGCCAATTAAAATTCTGAAAATTTTGCCTAATTTCAGATTTGTGCAAAATGTTGGCAAGGAGGTCCCGGCAAGAGGGCTAAAGCCTTGGGACAAATGTGTACTTTTGTACTCTCTACCATTCACTTCTTCATAATAAGACTTGGCCCAGTTAGCTTGAGGATCGCTGCGGCTCTCCACTGCGAGAGATCCAAAATTTCAACTCAAACTGGAAAAAGAAAATTGTCCAGCACTAGCCTTTTGATTGAGCTAAGAGCCTTTGGGGACAGAGATCAGGCTTACCTGATTTCTTGTGCTAATAAAACTGTGTGGGAACCTCGCTGAACCTTGCAGGGACAATTTGGTCCTGGAGAAAGGGACTGAAATCACGAATGCTAAATGCAATAACAACCAGAAGCCCAGTGCCTCTGTGTCCTTGCTGGATAATCATGGTTCTCATGCACAGAATGCGAGAACAATCAACGCTGCCATGTTTAGAACAGCTAGCTGATTAAACAGGAGTCAGCAGAAGAAAGCGAATGCGAGAGAAGAGAAGAGAAGTGTCTTTGAGGAAGGGATAGGGGAGTGACTACATTTTTTTGTTTTTATAACAACACCTGGCTACAGAATTGAGCAGGACTCCAAACCCTTGCTTCAGCAGCACCAGGTCTTTGGCAACAGGGAAAGCAATGGAATCTTCTTGGAAGTTTCTAAGAGTTGCCTCAGCACTGCAAAATAAGGCACCTGCTCAAGGATAGTGTCAGGGAACTGCCATCGGAGCCAGAGGGAGAGGGAGGGCCCCAGAGGGATTCCGGAGAGCGTCCCGGGAGGGAGAGAAGCAGCACATCTTCTGGGGAAGGAAATCAGCGTAACACCAGTGGAGAAGGGGGGCAGATGGGGGAATCGGCAAGGTGGCTCCAAGACTCCTCGCCGGGAACCAGCGGGGAGAGCACGGGTCCTCTGATGCCCACACCCTCCCTGCGCAGAAGGCTTCCGCGCAGGGAAAGTAGGCGGAGACTAGGCGTCAAAGAGCTTCTTTGCTGGAAGAAGTTCAAGAAACGCCCACTAACGGATTCTGCCAGCGATTGAGACAGCCACGGGCGCGTGGCTGTCCAGACAGAAAGGGTTCATTCAGGCAACCAGCCAAGGGTGGCGTTGATTTACACACAAGCAACCCCTAGAACCATTACAGATAGGGAACTTGCTGCCCTTCAGATGTCGCTGAATCACAACTCCCATCATCCCTCATCATTGGCTACCCTGGCTAGGATTGGTGGGCACTGCAGTCCAACAACATTGCAAGGTGGGCAGAAGTTCCCTGCCGCTACTTTAAGTGTAAAGTATCCTTAGATAACTCAATGAATACACTCAGACTCAACCTGAAACAGCTGTAATTTTGTGTACACTTTACGTGTTTAGCTGAAATTAGTTCCTGCCCCAATAATAGGGACAATGCATTGGGAATGGGCCCAGCCAACTGAATGGGATGTGTACAGTGTCCTTTGTATTTGTTGCTTTGTTGCTGCTTTTATTTGATATATGTCCCCTTGAGCATTTTAAAACAAAAAGCAATTTTTTTTAAAAAAAACAACAACACCAAACTCCAAATCAACCAAATAAAATAATTACGTGAAAAGAAATTGGGATATTACATTCTTTCCAATCACTTTTCAGTGGTATTTGCTTAAGAGGAATTTCTGAAAGATTGTGCCAGGCCTGAGAGGTTCAGGGGCTCTGAGTTGAACAACCAACCTAGGACCCACCCTCCCCCTAGATTCTCCCAAATGAGGACTACAGTGAAGCCACAGTCTCACTGGCAAATAAGAGCAGAACAGCAAAATGTAAGGAGGTGTGCGGTGGATGAGAAACCCGCCCACGTTCAGTCGAGAAAGAAAAGGCAGAGAAGACAGGTTGATTTACTAAATGCAAACACACATGTCAGGCAGTATTTATTTTCACCCTGCTACGCGCCTCATCCTGACATTGTTAGAGTTGTCGTCAGAGGTTCAAAAATTGCACGGTTAATTTTTTGAAGAGGCAATTATGCATGTCTGAATAAAGTTTGCATAATTTTGAACTGCGTCTTGTTAAAAACAACTTTGCAGATTTTATACTTTTTCATCCCCATTTTTTTTTTAATTTTTGCAGGGGAGGAAGTGCTCAGGAGAGACTAGGGGAAAAAGCCTAAAAGCAGTAAGTGGAAGGAGGGTGTGGCCTGATGAAGCACTCACTAAGAGCTGTGCTGAGTGATGGCTTCCTAGTCCCCGATTCCTGGGAGCTGTGCCCAGTCTCAGAGGAACCGACCAAAACGTTTTCAGGTATTTCTCCACAATCATGCGACATGTCTCAGAAATGTGCTCTGTTCACAGAACAGCTGACATTTTCAGGATCAAGTTTCAGACATTCAGTGCTTGAGACTATATCCTGCATCTTGCAAGGCAGACAACCTTGCAGATTCTTAGAACCAGAGGCTTTAGTTTATGAGAGGCTTTAGTTTATCAACCGCTACATGCAGGGGGGTTGCTAAGTACAGACCTATGACACAGATTTCCATTAAGTTTGCATATGCTAATGCCTATATGACTCTGGGCAGTTAAGATGCTGCGTGTCTGCACCAGCACTGCATTTTGCAGGGTTCTCAGCCACCTTTAAGTCAATTTAGGGGGAGGTTTTGTAAAAAGTGGAGGGGAAGTAGCAGACGATCTGGGCTTCACTGCAAAACGCCCTTGGCTACAGCCCTTAACAATGCCCTTGGCTACATATGGAAAGGGCTATTATAGAAAAGCAAAGTGTGTCAGTATAAGAGTGTGTGATCAGCTTGGTACAAGTTGCCTCTGACCCTTGACCACTGCTCTTCAGCTTATCAGCAAGATGTGGAGCAGGACAATGAATGTTATTTCCTGCTTACACTCCCGATAGCCCTTATCGCCAGCTGTCTTCACCCAAAGACAACAGACTTCAGCTGCAGTTCTCTTGGGAACCCAGGGGTTTAACTGTTGTCAAAGCTAAGGTGGACGTGGAGTAATCATACAGTTCTGGTCCTTTGCTATTCCTAGACTGAAGCAGGGAGATCCTAATGTAAAGGAAGGACTTTCA